ATATGAAATGTTGACACAGCACTGTGCACACGTCTAATGACGTGCTAAGACTCCACAAACTTCCTACCTGAATTAGGCCTTTTTTGTGGCAATAGACTAAAACTCAATTAACCAACTAAGTTAAGCAAAGGAAGAGAATTTATGAGCTCACTTAATTAGGAAGTACAAAGCAGAGCTGGATTTGAGGCCTCACGTATTGTCATTAGATGCTATTTCTGTCTGTTTCTTGTGTGTGTGTGTGTGTGTATGTGTTGGCCCCATTCCCAGGGCCTTCTCTTCCCCCACCCATAGTGGCAGAGACTGCACCCCTTCCCCAGGAATTCCAAAGTACGTCTGTCCCAGGATCACCTCAGATTGGCCCCTAGCTTGGGTAACATTCTTATCTCTGAACCAATCAGCGTAGCCAGGAAATGCAATTGGCCAGGCCTGGATCATGCCCCCCACCCTCCAGAGCCAGTTGGTGGAGTCAGCCACTTCTGAACTAAACATACTGAAGAGGAGGGGTGAGTCCCAAAGGAAAATAGGGTGTCATGACCAGAAGAATAGGCAAAGAGTGCTGCTGGAGAGGAAAAAATAACTGCAGATGTTCAATAACTCAGAGTGTTTGAGTGACTCCCAGGGTCATCCAGAAAGGAATATCAGGGACAGGGCCAAAGCATAACCTCACTCAGAGCAAAAAAGGGGGAAACCAGGACAGAGGTGTCAGCATGGGCTAGCTCTTGCAAGACCTTTTAGCCTGTGCAATGGCCAACTGCCTGGTCAAATCCCAGCTCTGACAGGCTGCAAGACTTTCGGCAAGTCTCTTAAGCACCCCTAAGCCTTAGTTTCTTCACCTGTAAAATGGGGATAACAGGACCATCCTTTTAGGGCTGATATGGGGGGTAAATGAGATAACACAAGTAAGGCTGTTAGCACAGGGCCTGGCACAGTATAAGCACTCAATAAGTGTAGTGTTTGATATCTACAATATTAAGGAAAGTAAGAAGCCCCCTTTTGAAATTCCTGTTTGAAAGTGAAAACATAAACAAGCCAAATAGGCCAGTTTTTTTTTTTTTTTTTGAGACAGAGCCTCCAGCTGTCCCCCTGGGTAGAGTGTCGTGGCATTACAGCTCACAGCAACCTCCAACTCCTGGGCTCAAGCGAGTCTCCTGCCTCCGCCTCCCAAGTAGC